ATTGACAATATGAATTTTGTAAAACAATCATGGAGTCATATGAGACTGTGGCCCTTTACTCCTAAAATTTCAGGTTTAAGGCTGCTTGGCATATTGCATCTTAATTTTGCATACCCATGAACATTGACCCCCATGAATTAAAATGACTTAACAATATATGATAAGTCAAATTTCTTGAGCAAAATTTAAAGATAAAAACTTGATGTTTTCCAGTATGTGTCTTCACATGTAAGCCAGTTCTTTAAACTAGAACTCAAGTCTAATAAAAGAAATCACAAGTAATGAGGAAAAAAATATAAATGAATCAGAAATGATGCAGTGATGCCTTTGATCATGTACACAAAAATGATTAAAATTGTATTGAAAAGAATGCTGGACAAATATCACTGTCTTGAACTTTTCAGCGCCTATTTTCCTCCAAGTGATTGACATAGGGGCAGACTGTGGTCTTTGATTGTTTTATTTCAGTAAACAGACAAAAAATAGGCTTTCTCTGATGAGGCTAAAGAAATACTGTCTTTTCTTTTCCAACATTTAATACCATAATTAATCTTATACCATGTAAAACTTTAGTAAAATTTGCTCCTATTTTGAATACTCAGTATACAATTATGATTTTGAATGTGAAACAGTTTAAATCTATTTCCAGGGATTTAGAAACTATAAGAAATTGCTCATGCTCATCTTAACTTTAATGTGTATATGTCTTTGGAAAAAAACAAGCTCAACTGACAAAACATACATTAGATATTCTTAAAATGGTATTATCTTTCCTTCTCTTTCACATAAGGAGGACTACCGGTGAATAGAATCATATAAACTTAAACTTAATATAGTCACTAACTGTATTTCAAAACCCAGGTCGACTGTTAAAAGGGATCTTTGGTGTCATGGAGTTGGAATGCTTCAAAACATTTCCTTGGTATTGTAGTTTCATGGGCCTTGATTTATAATAATACTAAGTGAACAAAAAGGTATCCTTAGTTATTCTTAATAGCACCTTTCCATGTCAAGCCATTAGAGTACCAATTAAAGTGACATCCTTTTTTCCTTTAAAATAGACTTTTGCCACAAATAAAGCATGGGAATTTTAATTCCAAGACTGTTTGCCTTTTCCCCACTTTTTTATAATTTATTATCCCCCCCTTTTTTTTAAACTGAAAACAGACCCCCACTCCCCACCCCATGAGACCCCCAACACACAAAACTGTGAAACTGTACTCAGCATGAATTAAATAAGTGAACATAATCACAGATTAAATATTAAATGTGATTGAGGTCTATAGTTTGAAATTGAAATGAGTGGTCATAGTTGTACATATGTGTCCCTTTACTCTGAAAAGGATGCAGAACATATATCCCAAAAAAGGGCACCGCAAAGAGGAACACCCCTCGCAAACCAGCATATCTATAAATCAAAACGGCATTAGATTCCATCCCAATTTAATGCATATTACATCACTTCCATTACGCACACAAGGACACTTCCATTACACACACAAGGACAAACTAATTCAACCCCCGCCCCCCCAAGCACACACAAAAACGTTACTATATCCCTTCCAACTCTGTTGCGATGGGATAATTACCACTACCAGGGTATGAAATTTTTGGGACATGGCCACACATCATGCATAAGGTTGTCAATTTCACATATTTAAAGGAGGTCAAATACTGATGGAAAAACTAAGTGTTTATATATTATCTTCTATTGTAGGAATAGGAAGGAGATCATGCAGAGTCTTTAGAAATGAGGATTTTGTGAATAGTTGGGTTGCAAGTACATTATTAAAACACTACAAAGCCTGGATCATAGGTGGAATTGTACTTCTCAAACTCAAAGTTTATTTTCACCTATCAATACATCATATGTCCTGTAGTTTACAAGTATATAAGGCCCAAGATCCTTTAATAATTACATTCCATCCCTCACTGACACTGTACTACATTTTCGGAGGATCTGACTCCCTTGCCCATTCATTCATGCATGTCTCTACAACATCCCTTTTTAAGGTATTCCATCCATGATTCTCTTTCACTAAATATCAGTCTCATAAAGAATACTCTGCCGTGTTCATCTTAAGCATTTTAGAGTAAAAAGGCTAGGATTTACCTAAAGAATATTTTTAATACCAAGAGAAAGATTTTCAAAAATAGAAATACCTGATAGTTATTGATCAACAAAGATTGCAATGAGGTCTCCAAAGATAAGCTAATTTTCAAATATAAAAATTTAATAGTTACTAAGATTACAAATGCCCTGGTGAAAAAATGTATTTCATCATTATATAGGAATAATATTTAAGTAGAATTTTTTAAAAACAAATAGATATATATGTTTAAATTCATTTCTGATTGAATCAAGACAAAGGGAAATATAGCTCTTCAAGGACAGGTCAAAATAAAAAAAAAGAAAAAAAGAGCAAATTCATTTCTTGCTTATAATTGTGATAAAATATTACTTAATGATTGTGCATTAATGTACTGAAAACAATTGAAATGTATCAAAACTGATATTAATCAGGGGCCACTAATCAGTGACCACAACAAAGTAATTTTGGCATATTTATAAAGTTGAAGAGATATTGTAAATGACTGTTAAAGGTCCTTAAATATCTTCAACATAAATTCTAGATGTTGTGTTAGAAATTTCTGTTTGCAATCATTGTTGCCAGCTAGGAATAAAACTTTCAAAATAAATGCCAATTTTCTTAAAGCCTAAGAGAGTATTAAGTATGGGGAGAAAGAGTTGATGAATGTTAATTATACAAGCAATATTGGAGAAATGCTTTCTCCTCTATAAAAGCAAAATAAGAAATTTTTACAGATATAAGAATTATAGAGTATAATTGGGGCTATAAGATACTATTTCATTATCGGTGTACCAAATTTGAACCAAGATTTCCTGACCCTGAAGACTGCGTATTCCTTAACTGGGGATCAAATTTTCTTATATGGTTGCCAATACTGTGGAAAAAAAAATAACTGGATTTGGATTTACAGGCAGACTAGATTTTATACTTATGATCTTTTTGGTTATAAACTGAAAACACTGTATTATGTGTAATTCAGTTATTTTCAGTATTCACAAAAACTTATTCCTTATTCAGATAAGTATATATACAGTGGCTTTCCACAACATATTTATGACATTGGCTTATTGAATTATTGACTGATTTTTATATAAATATAATATTGTATTTCAAATTCAATTTTTGAAGCAAATGATTTATTTTTTATCAAAGCAACATTTTCTTCTGCACATTGTAGTTAAAAAAACTCAAGAATCATTCTTTTTGTATATTTTTGAAAATTTTGTTACCATGGCAACGTCAAATATAAGAATTTTAAAAAAAAACTTTAACAATTCAAAAAGCACAATATTTCCTTCATATTTGCCAAATTTTATGCAAATTGGTTGTCCAGATTTTAAGATATCTGCATTCAAGTACCCCAATGTGCCAATTTTGTCAATATTCCAAAACAACTCAGTACTGAGATAACCACTCACTTAAAACATGTCAGGAAGCAAAGGGTTAATTTCTTCCTTTCTTTCTAGATCTTATATTTGCTAGTTTTGATGAGTTAAAATGCATGTAATGCATATAATGCACATTTCAATTCATAATGGAAAGACAACAATGGATAGGAAATGTTTAAAAATGTAAATTTGTCATAATTGACTTATTTAGTCTGAATTAGTCATATCAGGTATCATTGGAAGGATCTATGAAACTAAATACAGTACATACTCAGTCCCTACCAGCTGAATCCCTATTAAAACCCCCATGTGGCCTCATTCTTCATGAGAAGGGCCTAGCTGATGCAGGGGACAACCATTTGATTTTGACTTTTTTGGAAGGTCAGAATATTTTCAGTTCTTCACAGGGCAGAATATATATATTTTTTTCCAGATAAGCAAGAACAGATTATTTATTTTCTCTTTAAAATAAAAAGCTTAGGGGTCACTTTATCCATGATATACCAATTAACTAACTAACTAACTAATATCTCATTTTAAACATCAATTACAAGTAAATGTCAAGTAAATATAGTGCTTTTTAATATGAGAGATAAATTAATGGCACATTTTACCTGGGTGTGCCACCAAAAAAAAAAGATAGTTCAAAAAGATTGAGAATATTAACTTAATTTGTAGAAACAGTGATCAAATTAATACTAATGCTTGCAGTCAGCAGTGATAGCTAGAATTCCTGAATATACAGCTATCCTACAAATCAAAGGACAAGAGATATAAACAATTATTTAAAAAAATTCCATATTTTTCACACCTTTTACAGGTAAACAATACCTTAGATATTTTGCAAATATCATATCAGTATACTATACACGTAGGAAAATCCTTTGAAGTTTCCAAATATACACAAGGTAAATAACTATAGTCAGGTTAATTCCAAGTTCAAAGAGATTGTTGATTGTGTTACATATACACACAGGATTCAAGATGCAATTGGCACACCTATTGATCTGATAATTTCCCTAATATACAATGATCTTACAAATTCTTTGATGTATTTGAGCTACAAACTGAAATAAAAAAATCAGTCAGGTTAAGTTTTTAATTTCTATTCAAGATTTGTCAGAAGTGCAGGGATAAAAAAGAGTTCAGAGCCAATAGTACAGTATAAGCTTCAAACATAACCGAGAATTTTATTTCTTAACATTTGGGGAACTAAGTGATATATTTATCATTATAAAACCAAAATAATGGAACCATTTCCCTTTATTTCAAAGGCAGATACATGAGGACTTATCCTTGAACATACTTGAAAGTCAGGGCTAATTTCTTGCCATATATGCCCACGGGTGTGCAGGTGTTCCATTGATTTCCTTTCTTTTGATTTATTCTTCTTCCAGTAAACATGATAAAATGCAGAGACCTCAACACGAGTATTATCGCACATGTTTACTACAATACACGTGTTACCCTTGAATTTAAGACCAAACTAGACAATACAAAATATGTATTGTATACTTACAAAATTTGCGAGGTTTGCCATGTTTTTCTAAGAGGTCGGTGTTAGTTTTGACTTTCTTCCCTTATACATATTTCAGCTCGCAATAAGCGTTTTAAAGATTAAGATGCAAGAAACGTGTAATCTCTAAACCAAATTCGGTCCGAAAAACGGGTTAATTAAAAGCTGAAAGTAGGTATACTTTTTATACTCTCTGCTCTATTCAGTATTGTGTCATGTAGTGTTTATATGTGCTTGTGATGATACATTACATATGCAAAATAATTACACATTTTTAAAATTATATTTATTATTTACATTGTATAGGATATTTCAATTTTAAAAAAAATCGTATTTAGATATGCCTACAATTTTTTTGTCCAGGTTGTTTACTCTGAAATCTCCATTGCATAGTCCCATAAGGAGCAGCATCCTACAATGGCATCATGGACAAAGAGGAAAGTGAAGGGAGTACTGTTGGACATTAGTGGTGTTTTATTTGAGAGTGGTGCTGGTGTCCCTATTGATGGGTCAGTGGAGGCAGTGCAGAGGTACATAGTTATCTTGTAACACACTTATTCATTCCCTTCAAATAAGGGAAGAGTTACCATAAAAAGGGATATTGAAGAAAAGGACTTAGGGAGGAAAGAGGAGGGAAAGAGGACTGAGATTCAGCTTGGCTAGATATTAATTTGGAGTGACCCTTCACCAGCACGACCAGTGAAGGCGTAAGTCCAAATATCCAGACAAGCCCGATCTCAGCTGAGATTAGCTTATACCCACAGAGGAGAAGCATGAGAAAAAAGGGGGAGGTTCTGTAGATAGGGAGAATGTTCTCTTTCGAGAAGTGGATAGGCATAGCCTACATCCAGTGGAATCATTTAAATCATATTAATTAAATCAGAAACCTACATATGTGTACTATAAATAAAGTATATTTTAGCTCTTTGATTTAGTGTTAATGTAAAAATAATCATTTCTGCAGCAGCTTACATAAAGTATAGGCATGGTGAAAAGGTCTTTGATTCTAACACTATATAAGTAAACGTAATCAAAATGAACTTTTATGTTGCCTTTTTATTTGTAATTGACATGAAGTTATATATAGACAAATGAATAGCTATTTTTTCTTTAAGAATTATATCAACTTGAAGTAAATTTAAGAAGCATCAATAAATACACATATTCATTCCAAGTGATTGGATGTTTACTTTAAAAACCTTATAAGACTTTATTGTGTCTAGTAAGCTGTTTTATTACAGACTAAAAGCTGCTGGTTTATCAGTGAGGTTTTGTACCAATGAGACGACCATGACACGAGGAATGCTGACGGAGAAGTTACACAGACTGGGATTCTCCATGATAGAGCAGGAAATATTCCCTCCAATCCCAGCCATATGTAAAGTCCTACAGAAACGCAATCTCAGGCCACATCTTCTCATCAATCCAAGTACGAATTCAGATTTTGTGATATATATCGATAGGTTATTAATTTATTAAATGTACGATGGGTAGTTTCTACAATGATCTATTTTTTTGAGTACTTTGCAGCTGTTATTTTTGATGTAGCCAAATTTCTGGATTACAGATTAGAAGGATAAAATTGCAACAACAAAAAAAAAAAAAAAGAACAAGTCCAGAAAATTTCTTTTTGTTAAAGTAGGTTTGTCATTTTTACAAGATCTTACATACAATTTGGGAATGAGTAAATTAATTAAGTTGCTTTAAACCAGCTAGTTGTAAATTTTTATGAAGGATAGATATTTGTTCAAGAGAGTATAGGTTCCTACTTTCATATGTCTTATAGAGGTAGCCCCTGATTTTGATGGAGTTGATACTTCAGACCCTAATTGTGTCATCCTTGGTGATGCAACAACAGAATTCAATTACCACAATCTCAACAAGGCATTCCAGGCCTTAGTGGCAATGAAGGAGCCAGTTTTGTTCTCTCTGGGAATGGGGTAACTATTTTGTTCTTTTTTTTTTAATTTCAACTTTAAAGAACTAAAATTGTGGTAGGCATATTATTTTCAGAGTATCTAAAGTCAAAATAAATATATGTTCAAGAAACTTTTAGGTTCATTCCAAGAGAATGGTTTCTGACTAGGAAGAATGACACAGGTTTAATTTCATAGACGCATACCCTAATTTTGCTTTTTCTCCCTTGGTTCCTAATTGAGAACATCCTCAAATTTTAATTAACTTAAAAAGTGGATTACATATTTATTAAGGACATCTGAAGCCAAAATTATTGAATATCCAAGCATTCTTTAGGTTCAGACAGAGATGTTCTGCTTTGTTTTAATTGCGTACTTTTGTCACATGTCAGGAGGTTCTACCGAGAACAGGGGGAATTACTGCTGGATGTAGGACCATTTACCAAGGCTCTAGAGGTAACGATACACAAACACACACATACCTATATCATGTATATGTATTTATGTATACATCATACGAAATTGAAGACCATTTTTCATTGCTAAAACCACAAGGGTAACAATATGATAATTTACTGTGCACAATTTATAAATAATATACATGTATATTGCAAATTATCATTTTATTACTTTGGTGGTTTAATGCTGAAAAAAAATATCTTAATTACAGTACAACATTTTCCCACAAAAGTTTTATTTTTGTGGAAATGGAAAGATTGTTTTATTCATTTATTAGTACCAGTGTATGTCAATCCACAATTTAACATCATCCACAACCATTGCACTAAAGAAGAAAGAATTTTTAATTGGTCAAGATATAGTTCAAGATCAAAGTTCTATTAGTGAAAGATATCTGTGCTATGTAGATTCTGATGCTAATTAAAGGTTGTGAACTTGTTTGAAGAGTCATATTTGAGCACTTTACATGCTGTCTCAGGAGTACTCCCAAAATTAATTCACTTATATGTCATACAGGAGTGCTGAATTTAAAATGACAGTATTAATTAGTCCATATCTTACAGACTGCTTAATTTTAAATACTAGTAAACGTTTTCAGTTTGCAGCAGATATAAAGGCCGAAGTTGTAGGGAAGCCATCTCAGACTTTTTTCACTTCCGTTTTAGAGGACATGGAAGTCGGTGCTGACAATGTAAGAACCACTGACATATTTGTACCTGTGTTCATATACTTCAATAGCTATAGTTATTAATTTTAAAAAAAATGTGAAAACTTATTACTTTATACTCTATTCAAGTTGAAAAGAAAATTTGAGTCTTTTAAATGCTATCGTATTACTAAAGTCCTGAAACAATTCTTTACCATGGTTCTTTGGAGGACAGTTTTAATTTTTTTAACTATACAAACAGGGACAAAAAACAGGTACATAAATATTTGATATTTGTATTAATTATACATGTATACCTTGTTTTGTTTGGATGTATAGGTGGTGATGGTGGGAGACGATATTGTAAGTGATGTGGGCGGAGCTCAGTCCTGTGGCATGCTGGGAATTCAAGTCCGCACAGGCAAATTCAGGTAAGCACATTTCCATGGTATAGTATGTTTTGACAGTAACACACTAGTACGTTGAATTATTAAGAAAAGTTTTTATTTAAAAGAAAGAGAAAATTCAATTGGTTATAACGAATTAAAGGCCTTGATCTGTTTATTTATTTATAATTCTGTGTCTCTTGATTTTAGGCCCCAGGATGAGAGCCACCTCTCTGTTAAACCTGATGCATTTGCTGACAATCTCTTAGCAGCCGTGGACCTCATTATAGAAGCATCCAAATGATAAACCAAGGAAAAATTGTCTTCCTTAAATCAGTGCCATCTCTAATTTTCAATGATCTACCAGAATATAATCATTACGTAAAGATTGTATATTTGTGTATGAGTGTAATATATGATATGCTATCCATCTGAAACTGTACATGTGTTTTTTAGGTGCATACCACATAATAAGAATTTTTATTTACATGTAAGTGACTATTTGATTTTGGAATTCAGTGATGGTTTTGATAACACTAAAAACAATGTTGCTAATAGTTCAGTCACTAATAGTGTCAAAAACAAAAAATGAAAATAGATATATTCCTAAAATCACTAAAAATTAATTATGCTAAAAATAATTGCCCACTTTCAGCATAAAATCATTAAAAATTATTTAGTTAATAATAATTGCCAACTTTTAGCATAAAGCACTAAATGTGCAGGTCTAATGTGACCAGTGATATGGTATAGGCATGTACATCTAAGCTGTCTGACACTTGTTTCTATGCATACAGAATAAACTACCAGGGACAGTATGTAAACGTCATAGGGCATACTGATACAGGTACATTGGTCCTCAACAAATCTGGCTTTCAGGCAAATCATGTAATAACTTATGTATCTTGATTTTTTTCCTGTATGATGTAAAAGTACATGTGTGAAATAACTATTATATCTGTGGTGGCTATTTTTTTATGTTATTGTGGTAAACACAAATAATAAAGGTGTGAAAAAATAACTACATAAGTAGTTCTGATCTACATGTAAGCATTTAAAAGAGATTGCTTTACAAATTAATAGGTTTTCTCACCATAATATTTGAATTTGCAGTGCTATATACATGACTGTATGTCAAGAAATGAAGTTTAAGATTTTGAAATTGAATGTAAAAAAGTATCAGACAAAAACCCAATTGTAATGGGAGAGGAGAAAATTTATAGCTGGACCGGAAATCCAACCGGGACCTCTACATTACTAGTCAGGTACTCTAACCTATGAGCTACCTAGACCAATATCAATGGTTCATGATGCCCAAACCATTCGCAAGTGAGTTAAGGGTAGGTATAGGCATTTCTATGCAAATGAGCTAATAAAAATGCATATGATGTATATCCTTTATACAGAGAAAGTTTAAATTTATTTTCTTATATATACTTTGTACCCACAACATGTTAAAGCTAGTGCACATTATGATGTCATTGTTCTTTACCACTCAAGGTAATAAAACACATGTACATTAACAAAACAGTGTCAATGCAAGGGCATATCCTATTCAACTTTAAATGAATAATATATAATATTAAGAATATTTTATAAATTTATAAAATTGCTGCACAAATCCTATGCACTTTCTTATTTGATAAAAATTTGAGGAAACTTATACTGGACTGTGAATTTTCACCCTGTTTCAACTAAAACTTTACGAATAGTAACCAAACAATTGCATTGTTGACATTTAAATTGTGCAGCAATATCATAAATCCTTGGAATATCCTGCTTCTATTTTTACCTTGTTTCTGTAAAACAAAATAAGGTTTAGCCTTAACTCACTTGTGTTACTCAATACTGTTATCTTATGATCCATCATTTATGATTAGCTGATTGATGATACATTGTAAAGATGGGATAAGGGAATCTGATTGATGGATACATTGTATTGATGAGATGAGCATTGACAGGTCATTGCAAGGATGGGATTAGGGGATTTGAATGATTGATACTTTGTAAAAATGGGATAGGTATACATGTAATACAAGGTATACATTGCTAGGATTGGATAAGGGGATCTGATTTACAGATACATTGAAAGGATTGGAATTAAGAGATCTGGTTGTAGGTACATTGTAAGAATGGGATTAGGGAATCTGATTGAAGACTTCATTTTAAGGATGGGAATAAGTTAAGGAATATCTGCTTGAAGACTTCATTGTAAGGATGGGATTAGGGAATCTGATTGATGGATACATTGTAAGGATAGGGAAGGGCCGGGGGATCATATTTTTATTTCACTGTCTTTAACATACATGTAATTTAAATTTTAAAAAAAACCCACTAAAATGGATGACTAGTAACTGAATTGGAAAACACTTTTATTATGACAGATTAAGAAACAACAACCAATACTTTAAAAAATAAAGCATTCAGTGAAAGCAAACATTTTCCCAGATGTGACCTTGACTTCAAATAGGTCTTGTCACAAGGATTACACATGTGAAGCATTACTAGTATTTCATGTTGATATATTAGATCAAAACAAGCTTCAGTCTTCTGCTGCTGATAAAATGATAAATCCCAAGGAATTCATTTCACTGACATCACTTCCTGTGTCCGATGCTCTCTTTTCCCCATTTTTTTTTCTTAAAAGTTAGAACAGCTCCAATACAGTAGATACACAGAAATGACCTTGGTTTACTAGCTGCCAAAACAACATACCAGATTTAATTAAGATTATTGGATGATCAAGAAGCTAGAAATATGAATGTCCTGTCTAAAGGGCAATTGTATTACAATATGAAAAGAAAATTTCCTTGTTCATATACAGAAATTAAACCTTTAGTACAGTTGTTGCCTTTTATAGTATTGATTAATTCTATCTGTCTAACAACTAATGAATTCTTGTTGTTTCAAGTCCATCCTTTCATAGCAAACATTTATTATATATGAGGTCTAAAGTAAGTGTGGTTGAAATGCACTTATAGAGATTTGAGCATGGAGAAATCCTTTAAATAGATATATGGATTAATTATTAAGCTTCACCGGGACCTTGACCTCACTTTTTCTCAGTTTGTGTTTAGCTTAGTTGCAAGCTGTTCAGGGCACTTTTATCAAAACTCATACACTGATACATATTGGTGACAGCTATTCAACTGTATCAAATTTTTCTGACTTTGACCTTTCCTATGACCTTGACCTCACCATTCTTCACTTTGCATTTAGCTCCGTTTCAAAGGAACTCTGCAAGTTCTTCACTTTGCATTTAGCTCAGTTTCAAAGGAACTCTGCAAGACACAGCCCTACTAAAGACATAAAAAGGTTCCACCTATCTCTAAATACTGAAATAAAATGATTTAATTATGAGAAATGAATTAGTACATGTATGTACCCTAATGTCTTTGAGCGTAACAGAAATCGTCAAGCTTTTTGTAAAGACCAAAATCAATCCCTGCCCTATAGGCCGGCATTTCATTCATAATAATGCGTTCCTTTGGGGAAAATAAATTATATATATATATATAATTGAGGAATATGTTATCTGACCTTAAAGCTGAACACGACTCGTAAATAGGCATACCCATATTAGATTTCCTATCTCCGATATTGGCACTGGGGTATATCCTTCGCATTCTTTACACCTGACTGTTTCCTTGTCATGGATACCTGTGTGGAATGGACGACACATTTTATATTGGTTATCTTACACTAGCTACCTCTGTTCACATTTTATTGCAGTTTACAAGTATTTGTGTTTGTTTGTACTGAACTGACCTGTGCAACTGATGTTTCTTTGGTAACTTTCTCTTCTGCCGTGGAAGAAGTACATGCAGTTACTTTTGTCATTACCAAGAGTTTTACACTAGCTATGTAGAATACGTCCATCCATACTGGTGAAAACTCATTTAACTGAATGGAAACTAAGTGAACTGCTTATATACAGAGGCCGTACAACTAACAAAAAATGCGAAGTAATATGGCAGTCAAAATATAGATCTCTGCCTTTTTCCATTGTGTTCAACTTTTAGTTTGATAAAAATATCTGACTTGCACATTTTCTATGAAACTGAGCTAAATGCAGTGTGATGGATGGACACATAAAAGGATGGAAAGACATCGACAGAAACATTCACGGTATACTAGGCACACACTAAAAAGTTGCACGAAAAACAAAAATTGCAATTACTCTACAGTTTCTACAATTTTTAGGGGGGTCTCCCCAAATATTTGCTTTCATCATTACATTTCATTCATCAGAAGAAAACAGAAAGCAGCTTTTACTTTTTGTAAAACATTTATTGTTCTTTGTTGTTAAATAATGATTGTTGATGACATTTTGTATAAATTACACCTTACATCGTATGAATGAAAACATACAGGATGGGATCAACATATACAGACTGACTAGAGATATATATATATATACTCAACAAATATGGAATTATCTCTTTAAACGTTTGTTTTTTTATACTAAATGAGATACACCTCACACAACAACTGACAAATAGTATTCATCCCTTTGGAAGAAAAAAATATGAATGTTAATTGTGACATAATCTTATATAATTGTGCCTGGTCTTAAAAGAAATATCATGAAATAAATTGCAATAAACTGACCATTCAAGCCATAATTAAGGAAGGCAAGAAGTGTTGAGGCTGTATACAAGCATAGAATGGCAAATGGAAAGAAATGATATAATCTGCATACAGGTACAACTTCACAGATATGACAGGTATTTTGTCAATGAATGAGCAAACAATTGTATAATTAGTAGTAATGAGTAAATGATTGCAAAATCTGATCACATTTATGAAGGAAACCAAAAAAAAAAAAAAAATCAAGGGACATAACCTCAAGCCTTGAAAGGGCCATAACTCATTTAAAAAATAGGCAAGAAACCAATAAGCACCAAAGATATTTGCTTTGCCAAGCGTTTTGTTTCATGTGTTAATGCTTATGTATCTTACACCGTGCAGAATAAAGATATCTCTTGGAGTACACATGCTACCAATACAGACTCTGTCCTGCAGATTTTAAAGTGCCTTGAAAAAAATCAAAGGAATACAATATACATTTAAATTGAATACAAAAAGTAATCGGAAAATTCATGTCTCCAATGATAAAATTTATAAACTGGACATCAACAAATGTTTTGACCTTACAACATTTGTTTGTGTTCTTTGTCAGTTTAAGAAAAAGGGGGGATTATGAATTATGACCATATCAACATTATAAAAATAATAGAATATTTTGTAGCTTCTTTTTGTTTTTGGTCTGTAAACTATTCCATAGGTTGTTTTTCTTAATAATTTTAATGATCTGCAGGACATAATCACTTTCCTAATGGAAGTACAGGGAAATCAGGAATCTGGTATTAGCATTCTTGCCTTCTTCTTTTTTTCAAATTAAAATTTATATACTAACCATTCAATTTAAAACATAAGAATTTATCAGTCTAAAACATCCGTGGGAGATATATTTATGAATGCTGTATTGTAATACCTCGACACTTGCTTTACATGTACTACGATGAGTTTGTACTCTCTTAGCAAACAAAAAAGAATATACTCCATGATTACAAATAAAATTGAAATATATCAAATATTGGTGAAAATACTTAGGAAGCATTTTTATAAAACTCAATATCTTGACACCATCTGCATTCATAAGCACACAGAATAAAAATATTTGATACATTGCACAACCGATGCATGCCTTGTAAATAATAAGACATATCTGAAAGCTTACTCCATGGTGTATTTCACTTCTTATTGTTCAATCTTTTCTGTATTATGGAAATTTTCTGTCCATTTTAGTGTTTGTCTACTATGCTTAAATAACATTCTGCAAAAAAGAAAAGTTTTTATCCCCACAAATTTCTTAGTACTTCATCATAATGCAGTGCATAAAAAAGCAAAAGTACTAAGATTTTATTTTGTGTAGATATTGCTTTGGCATTCATCTTGATTGAGTCACATGAAAACTCCTTTCCTACAAATACTGAAATCACTTTATTGAGCAACTTTTTCCAGTAGATATTTGCATGAAAGCAAAAAGATGTGGAAGAGAAAGAGTGAGGAATGATAGAAGCCTTGCAGGAAAGAGTTTAAAAACATGTAGAAAAAAAGATTTTTTAGTGTGTAAAGGAATATCAATAGTATACCCACTTAATATTACTGCTGTACTGAACAATTTCATTATAAAAGCAAAAAACACCCCACACTTAATTATTCAAAAAAAAAAAAAAAAAAAGGATGCAAGGTTTGTTTCAGTGTGCAGTCTTGTAGACTTTCAAAAACTGTGCATTTTTTTCAATTTAAAATACAATGTCATCTGTACAAAGAATCAAGTAGAAAACTTGTACCATATTAGGTTACATGTACCATACAATAATATTTTTCAACAATTAAAAAATACCAGACTGAAACCAGCAGTCCATTTCTATGAAGTTTTGTATTTTCAATGGTTTGTCTATGTAATTTTGAAATGCATTTGATATGACACAAATGTTTAATGTATATACAAAAAAAAATCTTTAAATTATACCATCGATTTAAACATAATTTATGCAAATATTCAATTTAAAAAATGCCAAAACATCATTAAACTGAAAATCAAAGGCAATCTTTGTAAGGACAAGAGGAGTCTTTCACACATTTTCCAGCCTCAATATTATAAAAAAAAATACAAATAAATCATTAATTGAATCTGAATTGAAACCTCCAAAATGTTCTTCATGGGGATTCACCTTACAGATGATTCCAAATGTTTCCTAACAGGAAGTGACATCATCTCTATAATTAAAATTGGAGATTCCCACTTGAGATTCTTTAATAACAAACTACTTCATTATGACTACTTAAAGCTAGAGCATTATCAGGTGTGAAAGGTTCTTTTTTAATCTGACTGCACAAAAAATTTTTCCAAGGAAAAAAGTGCACATTTTCATTAAATAATGTGTTGACAATTTTGAACATGGTGTATTTTACCAAAATTTGGTGTCAGTTTTTTTAATAGTTTTTTTTTTTTTTTTTTTTTTAATTTTTACACTTGTAAATTCACTTCCTTTTTTTTAAATGAAACCTCCCTAAGAGTGGCTTATAAAATTGTTAAAAAGTATAAATCTTGTGTTATCCATGCACTGCTGTAATTCAGGTAATGTTGCACAAATTTATCCAAAATACAACTCTAGAACATTTCTTTGCACTGGCGCAGCACTAAAAATTGAATACAAATCCATCCACACTTAGCCTAACGATGTCCCTATCTAAACATGCCAGCTCAGTCTACCTTTAACTACCATTCTAGATTTAGATATCTTAGCACTACTTTCATGTAAGTAATTTTTTCATAAACAGGACTTTAAATTAAATCCTTTGTAATGGAAATAGATGATTTGTCTTTTTTCTTCACTATGCCATTTTTCTTCTACTCCTCACCAAATTGTCTCCATACTACAGAAATCTTTTCATTCAATGATTTAAAAATTAAACTTGATGATAAATCTCAACATAATTTGTAGAAAAAGATGACACTTAAACATTGGGAATCCTATCAAGAAAGAAATCAAACTTATCCAAAGACTTTTCTCTACAAGATCCAGAACATAATTTATATTTCTACCAAGTTTAAATACATGTATATGATTACTGTGGCAGAAGCATTAATATTGAAGGCTTTGTGTGGTGTTTGGTGAATGTGTGTTGTGTGTGTGTGGGGGGGGGGGGGGGGGGGTCTCCCCCTACATAAAATGTAACACTTTTTGAAGTATATAATCATCACACACACAATAAACATAACTTGGGGGCAGGGCACAACATGAACATAGAATAATCTCTATCAATAATTAAAAATATTTAAAAGTGATTCTAATATATAGAAAAATTCAACCAATATGAATCATTCTCTTCCAAACACACTTGTACTCCCACGAATCAATCGCCCTATGACACTATTACAAAAGATATACAGGTAAGATTTTCTTCTTCTTGATGAGACAATACTGGCAAGTCCGAGCAAAATTTCAGTCCTCCAAAAATTGCCCACACCTCAAGATGTCCATTGACAATTTTTGATTTGAAAGTTGAGACGAAAGAAAAATTATCCGGTCACTGTATAATTTTTTTTTCTACAGCTTTTTCCTCTCTTTCTTTGTCCCAGCCTGAGTTTGTGTGTAATAAAAACATGGTGGTTTGCTTCTGTACACTGACACAAAAGTTAGCAAGTTCAGTCCACACATTTGTTTTAAAATTTCTTTGGAGGATCTCATTCACAGCAATGGAAGCCGTCAGCACCACCAATTCCCCAGCGTCAGTGAGCCTCACGATTCTGAAACAATAACATACCATTACAAAGTATAAATGTACATGGTGTTAGTTTTGTTCATTGATGAAGCAAAACAACAGGAAAGCAAAACTTCCAAAATGATTTGAGTAACCCTCTGTTTTCATTATTTTCTAGTCAATAGAAGTCCATAATTCTGTCATAAAAGTCAAAAACACATGACATGAGACTAATTTTTGATCATTACTCAGTACAGAACTTTTTGAGTAATTTTTCAATGAATAAAATACATTTAATGTCTAATATCTAGAGTCTATATACTGTATATTCTTCAAGTATGATAGCCTTTACACATGACACCAACCTGCCTTCTGAAGAGCCTGCTAAAAAGTCCACCCCGTGGTGGGGGAGGGGGGAGCTCCTCAATCAAATCAGGAGGGGGGTCCCCATCTTCATTGAACACATTTAGTTCCTTGAAACATTCCATCTCAATCATCTAAAACAAAAAAAGAGATTAAATGACAATTAAAAAAGTAAATTTCATATCTGCAAACATTTAGTTGAATTCTTATCACTCATCTTTATGAGTAATTTGAACAAGCAAATTCAAGTATTTGTGGTCCCTCATTTTTGTCTTATTAGTTGGGATGCATTACTTATGGCATATTGCAACTGTCTTGTCTGTGTGTCTGTTCATACAAAAAAGATTTAAATTTTTGAATCAATAAAAGTTATAGCCAAGATTAAAGTTTCCGAGATGGCATCAAACTTCAAGGTCAAGAGGTCAAATATCATTTTACATTCTGAAAGGTCTTGTCATAAGTAATGCACATGAAAAAATATGAAAGCCATGTTACATCATGTATTATCAGTTATTTTTTTTTTTTAAAGTAGGTTTAACTTTAAGATTAAGGTCATGAGGTGAAAACCATAGTATATTCAGAAAGGTCTTGTCCCAGATAATACACATGTGAAATATGAAGGGCCCATCTCCTCTCATTCAAAAGTTATGACTATTGTTAAAAATTTTGAAAAGTAGGTCAAACTTCAAGGTCACAGGTTCAAAAATCATAGTGTATTTGTATTTGGAAAGGTCTTCTTTCAGGTAAGATATGAAAGCCCTCTTTTCTCATTCAAAGATGTATCTAATTTCCTATCTACAATGTAATTGTTTCATAATGCATGTGGTAAATGTAACATCGAACAAATGTGTGACAACCTTAAGTTGTTGACACTTGCAAATATTTTTTTCTTTTGAAAATGAATAAAATGTATACAGGAAATTCTGACTTTGGACAAAGTCAGCCATGATTACCTCGTTCTGCCATGGTATTGATACACTGCCCGTACTGAACTTTGTATAGAATGAGTCGTCCGTTGCGTCTAGATTGACTCCTTTGACTGTGGAAAACTGCTCTATATCAAGGACATCCTTACAGTATACAGCTCTTTTCTGCAACGTTAAAGAATTAATCATCATCCTTTCCATGTATAATGAATTTGTCATTAAATACCTGATTCATCAACTTTCAAGCATAAATAATTTATTTGCGGATGGAGTCTTACGCACAATATTTAATGCATACATGTACAAATACTCAAAATCTAAGGAACAAAACATAATCTAATCAACATTTTAATTTGATTTTTTCTAATTTCACCTTGAGCTTGTACTTCTTTCAGTGTCTTGTACGATAAATCTAACATGTATTCAGGGTTAGAGCAATTATATAAATTTTACTTACATCAGGTTCAAATGGAGGATTTAATATTCCTGCCCGCAACCTTTTAAAGTTTATCGTTTTGAAGAATTCATGTGACTTGACGTCTTTGGCACCATAAGGCCCACATCCCAGTCTAGACTTAGGATCTTTGTTTAGAAGCTAAAAAAAATCAGATAAAAAAAATAATTAAGATAGTTTTCTTAGAAATGCATTTGACTACTCCAAAATACAAGAGCTAACATCACCAGCAGGTTTGTAAACATTCTTTATACAGAATGAATGAATCTGTATCATTCACAGGGGAACTAATCCACCCTCCCAATTTTTTTCTTTACATGTGCCTCTTTTATTACATCAAAAGTCGGCATACCATGGAATATATACAAATGCCTTTTCTTTGCAATTTTAAAACCACCTTAACTGTTTAAGCTGTAGGAGTCTATGGTCTTTCTATCATTGTTCAATTTTACTTTTTTAAATCTCTCTAAGACAAGAGTTCTTGAAATGATTCCCTAAGCTAAGGTGTCTATGAGTGCATGATATGATTCCACGAGCTTAGTGAGGTGTCTAAGAGTGTTAGAAATGATTCCATGAGCTCAGTGAGGTGTCTATGAGTGTTAGAAATGATTCCATGAGCTCAGTGAGGTGTCTAGTAGTGCCGTAATTAGCCTGATTTAGTGCTACCTTTTTACAGATGTCCTGGCAGTCCTCGGAGAATTTAGCCGTGTACTCTTCCTGATCCTCCTTCACTCGCCGGTCCACCTCCTCTCGCTTCACTTTCTCCTTTCGCGCCCGGAACGGTCCCTGATAAAAGAATAATGTATTCCCTTTTTTTAAAGCAATAAAATGCTTTCTTTGTTTTTTTAATGCTGAAATCAAAAGTTGCAGAAAAAATTAACCCCTCTTAATTAAGCATAGAATATCCTTTAATTTTTCATTGATATCCCAAACACTTTATGAATCTTAACCGGTTTGGTATACACTCCAATTTCACATTCCACATGTGTCTCTACATGTATTAGGGTCAACTTAATACAAGAGGTTCACCAGAGTAACTATGGCTCTGCTGTTCTTCATCAGCAGATTCTTTTCCTACATATTCTTATGTAAAACTTTGATCACATATTGTCCCACCCTACCCCCAGGGGGCCATGATTTGAACAAACTTCAATCTACATTACCTAATTAATGCTTCCATATAAATATGAGTTATATGACTAATCATCGCTTTGCTGTTCTTGAATGAGAAGAAGATTTTTAAAGATATTTCCTATATTTTCCTACATAACGTTGATCCCCTGTTGTGGCCCCACCCTACCCCAAGGGGTCATTATTTGAGCAATCTTATATCTACAATACCTGATGCTTCTTTATTAATATGACTAATAATGGTAAATCTGTTCTTAAGAAGATGATTCTTAAAGATATTCCCTATATATTCCTATGTAAAATTTTGATCCCTTGTTGACCCCCACCCTACCCCTGGGGCTCACAATTTTGGACAAAATTAAAATCTACATTACCTGATAATGCTTCCCTATTAATATGACTAATAATGGCTTTGCTGTTCTTGAGAAGAAGATTTTTAAAGATATTTCCTATATATTCCTATGTAAAACTTTGGCCCCTGTCATGGCCCCATCCTACCCAAAGGGGTTATGATATGAATAAACTTCAATCTACATTACCTGAGGATGCTTCTTTATCAATATGACTAATTTTGGCTTTGCTATTCTTAAGAAGATGTTTGAAGATATCTCCTATATATTCTTATGTAAAACTCTGACCCCCTGCAATACCCCTGTCATGATATGAACAAACTTGAATCTACAGCATGTAATGAAGCTTTCCTGTAAGTTTCATCTTTTCTGGCCCAGTGGTTCTCGAGAAGATTTTTAAAAGATGTCATCAAATTTCAGGAATTCTTCATCATCTCCCCTTGAAAGAGTGGCACTTCCTGTGAACGAACTTAAATTCCCTTCACCCAAGGATGCTTTGTGGCAAGTTCAGTTGGAACTGGCCCAGTGGTTCTTGAGAAGTCAAAAATGTGAAAAGTTTACTGAGGACAGATACCGTTCTATCAGAAAAGCTCACTTGAGCCTTCAATCAAAACAATGACGGAAGTAATACTTTGTCTGCCATGCAATATGTTAAATTCAATAATAATTAAATACACTGTACAACGAGAAAATTTGGCGCATGTGTATTTTAGCGCAAATGCAAGTGGGAAAGCATTGGCGTAAATTAATTTTAGCACTTGCGCTTGTCATCAAAAAATATAAATGTAATATTTTTTTCTATTTGATTTTGTGGTCACTCAAGCACGCAAACACAATAGCATTGATTTTTAACTCACATACACATGCAGGTAAATATTTGTTTATTTTTCGCGTTGTGTTGCAAGCTTATGGACGTGGCACAATGTCGATTTTAAACATGCACGCATCGAAGGAACTGATAAACATAATTAGGTATTATCTGCAAGGTCGCTCGCCATGCTTGATCGCATTGTTCACCTCGAGACAATAGATGATTGACACAGCGAGAAGCTGTTAATTAATGATAAGTAACAGGTAACAACTAACAATAGTTTAATTAACTGATTAATCAATGATTTGGCAGAACTTTCTCGATTGGTGCTGCGTCAGTTTACCAGTGTGAGTGTACAGCTACCCTACGACATCATGTAATCGTGCATTCCAATTTACATGTACTTAAGTGATCCATTTGAATACAAAAAATTTAATATTTAGAAATCTGTTAGCTCACAAAATATTTTAGCGCTCAGGAGCCCTTGTGCCAAAGGCGCTAAAATTAGTAGTGCACCATATTTACTCATTTTACAGTAACTGAGTTTCTACTTGAAATAACAAAGAACAACAAATATACCATTACACTAAAATTACATTATAACAAATTCTGTAAATTTCTCACCTTTCCTTCAATCATTTCATAAATTATACACCCAAGACCCCACCAGTCTGGGCTGAAGGAGTATCGCTCATTCTTCACCACCTCAGGGGCTGAAAAAAAATTGATTAAATTTTGATGAATTCATCAATTTTAAAACTCAACTACACTGTTAAAAACAGTTTTTATACAAATTAAAAGTTGGTTTAGAATTTTCTCACCCATGTAGCCAACAGTGCCAACTCGACCCTTGATTGTCTCCCCTTCCGGTACTTCTTCAGCAAGTCCAAGGTCAGAAATACGCACATGACCTGCAATATGATTAATCGTTATTTTTTTGTATAATGGGAGGGGGCTCTCTTTACTGACTAATATGGAAAAATAAATTGTAATTATATTCAATTGTATGTGACCTTTGCTGCTTGGGAATTTCTGGCAGTTGTATATAAATTATTTTTCCAAAAAGAAAGGGGTCTCATTCAAACTTGGGTAGAATGCTCACAGCTTAATTTAGTATGTGTGTACTTAAAATAGCATGTGGACTAGGAGAAAACAAGGTCTTAACAACTATAACATCGGAAGTCTTTTCTTCAGAGTTTAACTCAACTTTTGAGATCTACATACTGAGAGGAATCATTGGAAAATTTTGTGAAAATCATATTTCTGTACACAAAAAAATGTGCAAAACTATACACAGCCCTCAAGACGTTGCCACACCACCTTAACTGACTAATATAATTGTGCTCAGATCATGCTGTAACCATGGTGACCCAATTTTGCTTACTTATCAACTAATAATTTGTTGACATGTTTTATATGCCATTTCAATTAAACATTATTATATGAAAAACTTATAATTATTAGAAATGACGTGCTAATTCATTTCCTCGTCTGCCTTACACCTGATGCTGAACACGTAGCATGTTTCATAAATTTATGCCAATGATACATCAATCAATAGCTTACACAATACCTGTAAATCTATGACATTAAAGTGTTTAAACTGATAATTTACACTAACCATGATCGTCCAATAATATATTCTCTGGTTTCAAATCCCTGCAAATAAACTTGATAACATTAGTCAGCATAAAGTTTATATTAAAATAAGCATTTTTAAGATCAACAGTTTTTGATATTGTTATACCTTTAAAAAATTGTCTTCTATATTCCTATATATAATTATATAGAGATATATATAGAGGAAAATATATATTCCTATATGTTCCTATATACTTAAAAAAGTCTAACAATGTTTTACTGAGTGGTCATAAAAAAATCGATGTTTGACTGCAGAGTGAGATATTGGACCCAACGATTAGATATTGGACCGATTACCTCACACCATGGGCAGGATCAGCTAAATCTTATTTGCATTGAAAGTAACAGAATTGACCAAGTTTTAGTGCAGGTCAAGGAAATTTACATCATGAAAGCCAGCACAAGATACATGTATGAAAAATTGAAGGTATAACAAAACATTTATTGACTGTGTTCTCAGGCAAAATGCCTAACGGCCACATGCAGGCAAACAGTTTGGTTCTTGGGTCCGACAAAATGCATGTTGTCCTTGAACCCAGTCGATAAATGTATAGTATTAAGTAGTCAGTTACCTACATAAATATATTTTCCTAATTAATAAATTAGAATTTAATAAATTTATCTGTTCCTCTTCGATATGCTACAATACATTTTTACTTTTTAGGATATACTGTATCCCACAAAAGCAGAACTAGAAGTCTAGTTTTAATTAGAATTAATTACTTATTCTAATTATTATCAGGATTTCTCAACACCAGTGTTTGTCTCTTACATATTACAAACTCCATGATTTCAATGATATTTATTTTTCATGTTCACAAAACTCTGTTATTGTTTACAAAAAATTGGTTAATCAATATATTTCAGACTAAGTGCATATATATAGAAAAAAACAATAATTTTCCAGTGCAGCATAAAATGGTTTGCATTATTAATTCCATCATTATCTATTCTTCTCTCCAAACCTCCATGAATAATTTGCAGCTATACAACTTCTGCTGAAAAAGAACATCAACTTAAATATAACACACCTATATATACCTATATAGCATACCTATATACAATCCCTTTTAAATGGAGATCTTCTAATCCGCACGTAATTTCTGCTGCATAAAAAATCGCTCTTTCCTCCTCAAAACCTGGGTTACCCATATTATGTATATGAAACTTTAAATCTCCACCATTCATTATAGTCAGTACTAAACACAGGGCCTCTTTGGTTTCAAATGCATAGGCTAAACTAACCTGGAAAATAAATCACTAATGTGTTATCATTTCACATATGGTAAACAAGTTGTAAAATAATTTACAAATTCATTATCATTTGATATACCTTACATTTCCATAAAGCTGTCAGTGAAAGGCATACTGGATTAAAATTTTCATTAAATTTTGAATTTCAATTTTATTTCCTGTAAATATTCAGACTAAATGCACTCAAACATACCAATCAAAGTTTGTTTTAGCAAAGCATTTCTTTGCATGAAAAAAAATGACCTATTTTAAGTATATGAAGATGGAATGACTTTCTGTATTCAACCCTGCCCTGCAATAAACATGCTTCTGCCAATTAGAGAGAAACTTTTTAAGCTGAACACTTGAAATCATATTGAAAACTGCAAAAATGTGAATGCCAAAATATATTACGAGAATCAATCTGAACACGTGAACTATTTTTAAATCCATAACACGCAGTTTTCTGTAATGAAAGCCAGCAATGAAAAATGCCTACAGAAAGTTGATCCCAAACTATTTTCTGCCTTTACTTTTATCAATTTAAAATCAATTTATCATAATCAGAATTATTCTGAACCACTTAAAAGGAAAGGCATTTAGTAAATGCATGCAAAACCATGATGTTCAAATTTTTCTAAACAGCAGAAAATGAAGCCAACATATTTTTCTCTGTAGACAATTCTTTTCTCTTCAAGTCCTCTTTCTATAACATCAAAAGCTAGGAGAAGTGATAAATGCTTGAATTCTCCACAAAAACAGAGCTATTTACTTTTACAATAAGAGGTGTGTGTTTACCATTATCTTCGCACCTTCTCTGTTGTCTGTATCATAAAAATCCCAACTGTATCTACAACCCGTCTACTTATAACTACACAACTCCGATCAAAGACAAAAGGGAATGATCATGATGATCCATCACCTGTACTAATTCGTTATGAACTTCAAGAAGATTGTCTTATAACTGAATAATAAGGGAAAGAGGACAAGCCACATGTTCTAAACATTCTAGTGATTACTGCCTGAACAACTTAATAAGCCAGAGAATAATATGAAAGGAAAGTGGAAAGAGAAAACTTTATGACTTGTGTTAAGGTTCCTCAGCCCTCTGGCCACTCATATAAAATTATGCTTATATGCTTATGATTTTCTAAATGAAATCTAATTTGTTATCAAAATGCACACAATATCGGCATAGGCTGCAGGACAAAATTTGACAGAAATGGCCTTTTCTATAAAGGAATAATAAACAACAATCCAAGAGTTGTCTCTCTTATCAGAGGGACAGTGCACTTTAAGCTGAAACAGAGAAACATAAAAAAAAAATAAAGCTGAGATACTTACGACAAACCTTGAGTTGACCTTTTGTAGAATCTGTTTTTCATTCAATGCCATTCTCTCTCCATTCCGTTTCTTGATTCGCTTTTTCTCTAGCTTTTTACATGCATACATTTTCCCTGTGGCCCTCACTTGGCACGCACACACCTCCCCAAACCCTCCCTTCCCTAGTACCCTGTACATTCGAAATGTATTTTTTGTGACTGGTTGACTGAAAAAAGAAGATGAGATACAGTTTAGAGTTTGTAGATGTACATAAATCAATAAAGTAATAAATTTGTTTCAATCTTATTCATCTCACCCCCCCCCCCTTTTCCTCCAAAAATTGTATTTGAATCCCATTTTGTCATCACATTAAGAACTTTTTGATGGTTGGCAGGTTAAATGTTTGATAACTTTGTTTCTTGTTCTTTCTTTTTTTTTCTTTTAGTCATTAACATTAATCTAGCTGTATTTTATATCACATTAACATAAAACATAATTTCCTAAGAAGTAGTCCAAATTGAAAAAAAAAAACAACATCATTTTACCACTTGATGTTTTCTCCATTTAAGCTTACTCAACATATTAATCAAACATTATACTCAAGCTTACTCCCAATATCCATCTTGCTGAAGATCAATTTTGAATCTGCCACTTTTAGCAAGTTTAGAGAGATAAGTTTCCTACCTTTAATTTTCTGATACATAAGTTTTGAAGATACTTTTCTTACCTTTCCAACCACTTCCATTGTAAATATCTTTTATAAAACAAGCTGTCTAGGAACTCTTTAAATGGTTCATTTTTTAAATGTTCTAGGATTAATCTGAAACACAAAATAATATCAAGAACGCATTAGAAAAAAAAGTACAATGTGCATTTTGAAACTTCTACTATCAAAAGTTTATCATATTTTCTTTTCAATAGATTTTGCTTTTTATCATGCATGTTATACCAGCTTAAGGTTCACAGACCCTCTGATAAGAAAGGTAACTCTCACTGGAATAAATGACAATCATTCCTTTATAAAAATGTCCGGATAAAATACCATTTCTGTAAAATTTTGAACCATAAGGCATGCTGAAATTTTGTGCATTTTAAGTGTAAATTAGAATTTTTTTGAAAATCATTAGCATTGAAACAAAATTTTACATGCATGAAGAGAGGTAAGATGTACCTTAAACATTTTAGGAATGATGCATGGTGTACTTACTCTACACAAGGGTTAAATATTTCTTTACTGCAGTTGTGACTGTGTATACTCTCCTGAATGGCCGTAATTTGATTTCCATTGACCTGACTCACGTAAGAATCAGACTGCAAAAAAAAAAAATGAAACTTGTCTAGAAACTACTACAGGTTTCAGATATTATGCATATGCTCTACATTTCTGACATTATGCTCTACATTTCTGACATTATGCTCTACATTTCTGGCAGTTTTTCTTTTCATTCCCTGTCATTTATCTTTTACAAATCCAGCAGTTTTTTCATAAGTACTTTTATGGCAATTTAATCTCACATTACCTGATAGCTACGTAAAACCTGTTGTCCCCTGGGGAGATAGAAGAAGGATTTTGAGCAGGATCTAAACATTAGATTTATTTCAAAACACATTTTCATCTTTATCCTTTGTTATAGATTTGCAGCATTTTTTCTCTGCACTATATGTGTGTGAAATTTCTGTTTTTTAAGGTTCATTGATACTCTGATAAGAGAGATTACTCTTACATGTAATGACATAAAAGTCTATCATTCCTTTATAAATTTGTCATTGACAAGTTGAAGGGTCTTTTTTGTCCAATTTTGCCCCACAAGCTATGCTATAATTGTTTGTATTTTACTAATAAAATACATTTCTTTTGGAAAATCATAAGCCTTAAAGAAACATTTTATATGAGTGAGCAGAGGGGTTATGAACCTTAATACACTTTTCTGTTTCTACAGAATTTTCTTTAAGACAGCTTTATTCCTCTTTTTTTGTTTCCGTTTGTTTGCATATTACTAGTATTTGGACATCAATGATCATTTTTTTTAAAGAGTTTATGCGGTAAGTCTCCAGTTCCATCTTATTGCCAGAAAAGTACTTTTTAATAAATGCCAGATATGAAAAGTCTAAAACCCAGCAATAGCTAGAAATGACATGCAGCAAGACAGGTGTTTGATCCAGGTGATTCTAACATTCTCATGCATTAGGCATGGCAAAAACAGGGCATAATTATATTAACCTCACTAAATCATTATGATCAGGGATGAAATAATAAATTGGATGGACATCACGAACAATCCTAATGCCCTCCACATGTAACAATATTGTAGAGGATGACGTTTTTCATCAGTAAAAGTTCACCAGTATCTATCATTTTATCTTGTTTTTATGGATTTTCAATTTCCCTTCAAAAAGAGATATATTTTATCATCTTTCTTTTGTGCAATACCCAAATTTTCTCTGCATGTGAATATAAAGTATACTTATAACCATTTATACTTGCATGTACTTAATTTTCATGATGTTATTTTATATAGTATAGATTATTAACTATATTGGTGCTTTCTGGGTATAAGTAATAAACAATTACAGCAAAATTGCTTATAACAGCAGCGATGTTCATTCCCCATCGTTTTAATACAATAAATTATCATGAACTTAAGAGATGTATTTTCTCATTTGCAACAAGTCACAATTTTTTTCAAGCACTTAACTCTAAGTGTTTTTAACTTTTACTGTATTTTATTATCTTTATTATAAGTAATAATCAAACTTTTCCTTTTCCTATGATAATATAAACATTAACTGATGCTAATGATGTCATGTATTTATAGGTTAGATAACTACATTGATGCTTTGTATATATATGCACTGTTTTATCATTCATGTAATTGTCACGTTTCATTCCCTATAAGCAAAATATAGCAATTTTCCATGCTTAATTCACATCATGTTGTGAATGTAAAGGTTAGATAATTATAATTGGTGCTTTGTGGGTACATGTGCATGTTCAGTCAGAGCTCAGTGTTACTGGATCTTTGAAGTTTCATGCTGTTGTATACATATTTACAGATTAGAAGTTATGTTGTCGATATATTTCAATCAATTACAAATGTGTAAAATTGTACTTCTGAAGTTGGCATTTTGTGCATACTTGTGCACAGTCAGGAACTGTGTAATTGCCTGCTTTGTAGATTAATGTGCAGTATTCACTCAGAGATGTGTAACTGCTTGCTTTGTTGGTACATGTGCACTTTCAGTCAGAGCTATGTAACTGCTTGCTTTGTGGGTACATATGCACTTTCAATTAGAGCTTACACATCTCTGAAGTTTACCTTTGGGTCTAGATATGTCTCATAAACTTCTTTTGCTTCTTCCTGCCGTTTTTCATCTGGTGCCACTTCATAGCTTGCCTAAAACAGAATGATGGAAATCTACATTACACTGTAAAAAAAACTGAATTGAATTCATCATCCTGAAAACATAAAACCCTCTTCAAGTCAATATAAATACTGGTAGTCAATCTATAAATCTCATTTTCAACTTGTTATTATAGATATTGATCACTTAAAATCATGTTTTGTGGTAAATATGGAGAAACAGGTGGTTCACACCTGACAAATGATCACAAATCTGGGTATTTTTAGTTTCTCTTTATTCTATTAGACTTGAAAGATCATGATTTATAATATTTGAAGAATGGAAATTTTAAAATCCCTACCACTCGATCCAGGAACTTGATGGCACGGGCAAGTTCTGGCTTCTTGGAACAAAATAATCGGAACAATTCTCTGCCTATTGGTTGCTGATCAACTAGGTATTCATACGTATTAGCTACAAAAAAAGAAAAGAATTCAAAATGACTGAGAATTAATCAAACAGTTAAAAGAAAAATCTCTCTCTCTCTGAGAGACAGAATACAAAATTTAAGTCATATATTACACTTTGAAGCCCACTTAATATGTTTTTTTTTCAGCTGAGCTGAATTTTCATATTTCAACTCATGATTTATGAGCTACAGAAGCTCTTCGGTTTGTGGAGATATGAAAGATATGTCCTCCAACCTGTGAACTAAGGAACAAAGGCTAGGGACATGTATAGACAAAACTTTTAATTTTCCGCTCTTGTTGAAATAGTTATCTTGGATTATAACCTAGCTGTGTATACATAAATAACCTTCGTCAAAAATACACCTTTCTAAAACCCCTTCTTCCTCTTAATATTTTTCGAAGTTGGAATCATATCCTTGTAACTCTTAACATGTTTTAGAACTAGTGCTTTTATGGAGAAAAATACTGACATCCTTAAGAAGTCATTAAGAGTTCTTGCAGTATGTGCAAGACAGGCATTTGCACTGACTAATTATTATTTAATTTTTTTTGCAATATTTCTATGTAAAATCGAATCATATCTCTTTGAGGTAATGCGATATCTATTTTCTGAAAGTAAGGAGGTGTTAAATATGCATTATATTTTTTAATAATCTGAGACATAAAATCAGTCAGGTGTGAACGCGAGATAAATTAAATCATATCCTCCCACGTACTTGGAGGAAGTCATTAAATCAACAGGTACAGTAAACCTGTTATAGTGTTTTATATATATATACCAGTCAAAATTTAAAACCTTGAATGACACACGATTTCATTTGCTTAATCACCAAGAAACATCCCAACAAGGTATAATTAACTAGGCCATGGGTTTTTAGAGTTCGTGTTGCATCTTCAAGAAGCTGTTGATAAGACAAAATTAACCAATTCTTCTTACATTTCAATGCTAATCAACAGAGAAGAAAAACATTCCAGAATCTTTAAATAGGTGCTTTGCTATGCTAATAAATAAATGGGGTCAATTACTAGCATCAACAATTCTTGAGAGGGGAGAAAAAAAATTACATGAGATAAATCTAGGTTACTCACGAATTCTCTGATTTATGGCATCTCAAAAGCTTATCAGTTGGGAACAATGTTGCCAAAATCAAAAAAAGTTTTACAATGACCCAACAGATGCAGAACCAACCACGATTTCAAGTAATCCGTGAAAGAGTTGCTATATTTTTGTAATCATTCGCATACACATTTGCATAAATATAAAGGGGGAATGTGTTTCAGGTGTATTCTGGGCTCTTGAGAAATGCCAGGTTCATGAAACGAGGACTATTTCTTCTTTTTTATTACCCCCATGCCATAATTTGAATGCCTTAATAAAAACAAAAACAGGACTTGAGTAAAATACATTGCTTCTATCAATGTCAACACACTGCAACACAACACTACAATTTGTCTCTGTCTGTCCAATAATCTGTCTGTCTGTCCAGAATATATATTCTCTCCCCTTAACCTTAACTAGCTCAAACTTCATCCATAAAGTGCCTGTCAGCTAGGATTAGATGTCATTAAAATTGTTCTTTTCTAAAATGGAAAAAAAAATCATTTCAGAAATACCAGTTATCCACTTAGCACCTTATGAAAGCCTAATATGACATGACCTATTGAAATATTGTTATCAAATACTTTTTCTTTCTGATATGAGGTCAATAATAAATGCTCATTGCTGTAACATCAAACAAATGTTTTCAAATAATATTTCTTGGTTAGTACATTCAAATTTTATATATATATATATATATTGTAAGCTACCCAAGGGGTGGCTAGTATTTCTGAATCCTCAGCATGAATACAGGTCATTGCTTCATCATCTAAATAAATCATCTATTTACCAGGATGCACCAATTTAATTTGTTCTCATGTAAAATAGACCAGGCTCCTCTCTCTGTAGATACTTGGTGGAATAATACTTAAGATGATGATCAGTCATACTTATCATTTATTGTACGTACAGCATCTCATTATCATAACAATATAGGCAATACACAAATAACAACATAAGAAAACATGGCTGATTCTTCAGAAACACAAGTTTAGGTCGTCCAGTGTGGTAGGAGATTTCTAACTAGGCTAATTACGTGTAATTTACATTATAAGTATCTCACCGTCTTTCTTCTTTATCTTTTTAAATGTTGCCGCCGTACAACTAGCTGAAATCTGTCGTAACGTAGTACGCGCTTGCTATATAACCTCCTATCCCCTGTCACATGACACAAATTATCCAATGAAAATATGCCGTACGAACTATCAACTAATCAACAGCTTGTACGGGAAGCTGAGTTCCCACACAAGTTCCCACACAGAACTACTTTTGCCACACAAGCTGCCGTACAATATCGTAACAAATATAACAATATAAATTTAACAACTAGAAATAGAATACATAAAATAAACTTGACTAGACGAATAAATTAATACCTTCAATGTTTATAAAACATTCCTAGGCTGTACAATAGGTACTTAACAAAGTAGCGTATGAATATCGTAACTACCAACGATAGCGTAAACAAATGTAGTTCCGATTAAGCTGACTGATAATAAAGTTAATGCTGACAATAAAGAACTACTTATAGCCTCAGAATGCATAACAACTCAAATTAAAATGTAGAATCTGATCCAATATTCATAACTTGAATAATAGATTACTATAGTAAATGTGTCACTAAACCGGAAGTGATGATCCGAGTAAAGTATGATGGCTACCAAAACATGAAATGTAAAATCCACCCTCTTATCCCTGATATTATAAATCCTACGACTTTACATGAAGCAATAACAGGTAAAATATGATGACAGTAGCTATTACTACAATCGTATCAAGATAGGCTGACATATCATTTTCAATAAAATCGTAAACGAACAACTTTTCTGGCATGCACATGATGAATATAGATTTAACAAGTATGAGAACTGGACGACCGCATAATATTACGTATAAAATACAGTGATATATTACAATATATTACAATATATATATATATATATATATATATATATATATATATATATATAATCATTTTCCCTCAGATTTTCATAGTCAACAATATATGGCCAATACACAGACTCAACACAGATATGTTTTCTGTGTGCCTATCTCTCTTCTCTAGACCACAGGCCACAGATTTCTCCTTCCCAGGTAGCACAGATCTTGATTTACAGTACCTGTGGCTTAACTGATCATAACTAGATCAATACAGTACATCCTGAGGTCATGAGAAGTGGGCATATACCAGATATATCTGTGTCACGAGAACTTAAGTATCATCACTTGTTGTGCTTTTTGTTTACATACACACAAGGACAATGGAAACAAAAAGATGAAACAGGTAAACATGATCTTGACCATAAAGCCCTGGGGTTGGTCTGTAGGTGGGTGGGTACACAGAGGACATTTAGAATTTGCTACCAAGAAATTACGTTCACATCATGCAAAGGGACTCGAAAAATTCATCATTTAAAATTAACAGTGAGTCAGAATCAATTCACAGTTGTGGATGAACTGTCTATCTAAAGTCTTAGTTAACATATTACCCCCTAAATCGTCATCCCTCCCCCTTCACAAAAAAGAAGGCACATTAATCCATACCAATATATTTATTTAAGCAAGTTATTAATGACCTCTTTCACTAAATTAAGAATTCATACATGTTATATTACAGGAAATATTCACGATCCTTGCAGAAATTAGAGGTCTTTAAATTTGAACTCATGCGCTAACTTTTTAGTATCTTATTCTTCTGCCAAACATTGCATTTCTTCAACAGAATACATGTATAAAACATGACAAAATTGGTGATCAATGGTTAATCAGACAATATAATTATAATAATATACCAAAAGTATTGACTTACGTATCGTGTTCCGTAGATGTATACAGGTAGATATGTGGGGAAATTTAAGGATTTGCTTCCATTTTTTACTCTTTCCTTTTCGCTTTCCTGCAAAAAAAATGGGAGATATATAGATATGTACATAGAAAAAGTATTTTGGCTAAACAATATATTAGCATTGATTTCAAATACAGCTGAACTTTGGTATCTCAAACATCAATATCTCGAATACCTTGAATATGTTGGAGTCAGTTGATAGACCCAACCCCTTTTTCTCTATGCCCGAAGTTTTTCCTCACTCCCATTTGGTTCGAGATAATCATGTTTGACTGTATTAATTACAAACTTCCACTGGAAGAACTTTTCAAGTTATACTGCTCAAGTAAACTATACAATGCATCTAGCACTCACAGAAGCCAAATCCTATGGTGGCTTATTTAATTTGTATTTGAGTGACCTTAACTCAACATAATTTTTGTATACGAGTAGCCTTGACCTGACAAATATTGCCTTGACCTTCAGTGTGCCCAAAAATGATATTTCCCAATCATTCAATAGTTGTAGCCAAGATTAAATTGCAAAGAGGAAAACAAACTTAAAATACGTAAACATGTCCCCCTCCCTTGCAGTGTTTCTAGATATAATTAGCCTACATATTGTACCTAGTATTTATTGATTTGTGTAAACAACTCAAGGTCGTCTATTCCTCAGGTTCTCTTAATCAGTAATTAAGCCCCATAAAAAATTCACCAAAAAGTCTCTAAATTATTCGATAAGTGTTTTCATTCTTTAAGCTAGGCACAAATAATTGAATTTTTACCAGTTTATTTTGATATGAAATTTTCTTGTAGTTTTTATAAGAAAAAAGCAAAAATCACCCACATAAAATAATCAGAAATAAAACAATACACAGTAAGATCTCTTCCAACATGTCTAACCAACAGTTTCTCTCCTTATCACCCTCCATTCAATGATAAATTTAGGCAACTGGTATAGCCTGGTGTTTATAATTCATAAAGATGTTCAATTCAAATTCTTTAACTGATACACTCATAATAAACCTAGGCTTCTGGGGATTTCATGAATTATAAACACTCCAAGATGGCAAACCGCACCATACGTTAGGTCTAGATGAGGCATTTATGACCTCTCAAGTGCAAATGATTCCACATGGTTTATCATAAAGTCTGTAAAATAGTTTAACATATTGATAATTGAGATGGAAGGAATTCAAGCAGATCACCGTCTATGCAACAAGCTGGCAATAAGAATAAACCACACTGTCTACACATTTTTTTTTACAGTCTTAAAACAATATATTACTATTATAATTATTTATGAGGAATGGAATTCTTTTGACCCCTGGAGCCTCAGATGCTATTTAGACAAGATAGATTGCAGAATGAAATATTTTGAAAAAGAAACAAAAACTATAAAGATAAAGATGACAAAATAACTCCACACATTATCCTAAAAGATCTATGAGAATATGAAGATGTTCAGAGTGAAGTTTTGCCAAATATAAATCCAACAATACTGTTTTTTGTCGTGAGGTTTTAGCAAAGAGAATAGTTCTTATGTAACTCGTGATAAGAGGTTTAGATGAGATAACGGAGCAAAGAATTTTTTTTCAAACCAGAAGAAAAGTCCTAAAAAAAAGAGTAATGATGCACTCTAAAGATCTCAAAATCAATGGCATCCAGTGAGGGGTAGCATCAGCAAATGACTTAACTTTAAATGATCCGTTCATCTTTTCAATTTCAGCGAGCACAGACTCAGCGGGCCTGACTTTCCTTTCCCCCCTTCCTCAGATTAGAGTGAGCCTTTAATATTTCAAACTTCAACAAGCATAATAAACCATTCACACAATGATGGAACCTACACAGCAATGAACAGACAACTAAAATTCTGCAGAAAAATGGAAGCTCAGAAAAAAAACAGAAGGAGATAAAATTCCTTTTTGTATAATGCATAAATTTCAATCATTGATCAAGCCATTTCATTTCTCTCTCCTTAACTGCCCTATCAATCTTGAGTAGATGTGGGTTTTGCCACATTTAGCCATCAAATCTGGCAACTTCCAAAAGGGTTATCCAATCTCCAATCACTATATAAAGCAATAGAAAGTGGCGCTGCACTAGGATGAAAATGGGACACAAAATTTTTGGGGTTACTTTTTCAATATTATACCACAATGACATGATTTAAGCTAAAGAGAAACTCTCTTGTGATAATGACATTGGGGTTTACTGAAACATGGAATATGACTGGCACATTTCAAAGGATCTAGAAACACTTCAACAATACATAAGAACAGTGCGTATTATGTTTCAAAGAAGGTGACATTGTTAAAAATAAAGATACAAATCTTAAACCAAGCTCAAATGTACGTCAGTAAAATCAAAAAGAGATTTTAGGAGCTACTTAGGTGCTTATATCTATAGCAGAGAGACTTAAAAAGTAGATGTTATTATATTTGAAACGTCTGATGAAGAAATTTAGGTCAAACCTCCAAAACACTTCATTATATCTAAATACTGGATCTATAACCTAATAGTGATCAAAAGTACTGATGTTCTGCTAAAAGTTTCAAGCTCTACTTATATTAACAAGTGCATGTGATGTTGTTTACTAGTACATGCACATACTTCATTTGCCTAAATAAGTATATAATCAAATAGCAATATCATTTTTTTTTCAAAAGCTCAGGTAAACACATGTACATTTTATTGTATGGACACCTTGTGTACATGTACTAGGTACCAGTGCCTCGGTAAGGGGCAAGCTAGGGCATTAGTGTATGATAGGTCAACAATAAAATGTCACCTGGTAATGACCCTGTTACAAACACTGCTCTCATCAATAACAACAAAAAAAAGAACAGCTGGGCAGCCTATGGTCAACAGTTGATAACAAAATATTGGCAATATCCTAAAAAGTGCAATTTTATCAGAAACCCACAAGTTCTAAGCATTTTTTTCCAAAATGAATTAATTTACTTAATAAATTTGTAACAGGGTCATATGATCTCATCAAAGATTTGTCAGCCCCATCTGAAAAGTTGCCATCTTTCGCTAGTGGGTATGTTTTTTGGCTTAATTTGCTCAGTCTTTTTTTTTTAGATTCAGTCAAAACAGCAAAAAAAAAATTATCAGACTAAATACGTTTTCCGATCCTGTCATTTTTTTTGGGGGGGGGGGGGGGGGGGGGCAACTGCAAACCAAATGGAATTACAAAATTGTAAGTGCAAATATGCTACTTTTGAGAAACAAGTCTCAAAACTTTCAAACCACAAAGTCCCCCTGTTACATGTTTTTTGGTTTAAAAGTTCTTAGATTCAACAAATCCTTCTGTTCATCTACACTAATTCTTAAATGCTCACTTCAGAGTCTCTCCTTGTACAAGCACTCTTTATGCAATATTGAAATTTAGGGGTGTGGACAAGAGATTATTTTACCACTTTTGTTATTTTTAAATAATATTCCATTTTCAGAAAAAAAAAAAAGAAAACGAGAAAATGCCTTCAACAGACCAGGTTCTTTTTATTAGATATTCAATGTAAATTGTTATGTATAATGTATTCTTAATCGGGAAACTCTTGCATCATAAACTGGCATGCTTTGTGGATTATTATTTTCATGTGAATGAAATCTAACAGCAGGTTTGGCTGCAAAGTTTCGAAATCGGAGCAATATTACTCAAATGACTGTGAAGTCTGCATGATACCTATGTCTGCTTCGTTGTACGTCATCTAAGAAAATCATGCACTTTATTTTCTTTCTTTTTTTTTCACAGAAAAGAATTCTTAATATATTTACTAAATCACGATATCAGGTACAATATGAAAACCTCAAAAATATGAAGAATTGAAGATAAAAAAAATTAATAGGGAGCAACAAAACTGATTTTTCAATCCTTTTAACTCATCTGAACGCATCTACCTTGGCTAAATCTTTCAAACAAAATGATTGTCCTGCTGAGAAATGTCCCATATCTACCCAATTATCACCCTAGACATCATCAACTGCTGTGTCCCACTCAAACCAACCAACGGCAGTTATTGTAATGATATAGAAATGATATCAACATAAGAGCCTTCTCCTTCTCAGATTTAATCTCACACACACTGAAATAACTGCAGACCAATTCCTGCTCTGGGAGCCACCAGGAGGTATGCTCCGAGTTTTCATTAATATTCTTCCAGAGGTCAGGAGAGTCAGAACGTGTGTAATACATGTATAGTAGAATCCCCAACAATAGAATTGTGTATTACTAACAGTCAAACTTTTGAGTGTTCTAATGCAAAAAAAGAAAAAAAATCTCTTTTTTCTTCTAATTAAGCTCCAACAGAAATCTATAGTGCAATGGTTTTAAGAAGTATTACACTGTAATGTCTATATAATGAGGTTTGATGACAGGTTGCACTGTATCTACGGTTAAAGACAAACTGGTTTGGCTGTATTTTATATCATAACACTACTGTACTTGGACAATAAACATCTCTTGTCCATCTACATGTAATTTTGAACCCAAATACCACTGGCATTCTGCCATTGGATAAAAAAAACCAATACCTGTGTTCTGAAACCAGTTGTATATTGGCCATTCATGCTTCATATGTCAGTCACCTAATTAAAACTGGAGTTACATGCAGTCTGTATAGAGTAGACAGAATAGCTTAGCAAGCCTGAAAAGAAAATATCACCTCTAGTCCTCTACCAACTCAAACTAATAAGCTGATCTGTCTTAAATTTAACACATAGATTCTCAGTCTCACCCTCTCCATGGAGAATTTTGAAAGTATCAAGGCAATCAGATGGAGGGGTGTGTTGGGTGCGATTGCCTTTTTACGAAAAAAATCTCAAAAATATCGTTTGGGAAGTAATGCTGCTAGATTTTGACTTAATTTTTGAAAAAAAAAAAAAAGATTTCCATAATGTACCTGAACCTACTAAAAATGTACCCATTTTTAAAGATTTCCTCAGACTGCCTTATCAGAGGGAATACCCCCTCCCCCTCTAACCCTCACCCACATCCCCTTTCCCAGAAACCTGATTGAACACCCTCGCGGGTATGTTAAGGAAGCATATAAGTCAATTCTCTGGAAA